ATTGCTTAAATTGGAAAATTAACTGCGATGATCATTCTTCACTTTCATCTACAACCGCAGTTCATATATGAATTATTTCATATAAACTTCACATCAGTGGCAGTAAATGTCTGGTGCGTTTCTTTCACAAGAACTTTTGTATAGTTTCCTTTTGTTTTATAGTCGCCCTTCAGTTTTCTCTTTGCAATCTCAGTTGTAGGTGTTAGCAAATATTGAAGCCGTTATACCTTTAGTGGTCCTCGTTTTGTGGTCTTTGTTAAGTCAATGTGTAGTTAGTAGCTGGTTGGTAGGAAGGCCAAATAGCTGGTTTTGAGCCACAGCTTAGTTCATCTTGGAAGTAGGCAATGTGAGACGTGTCGGTTCAGGGGCGGATCTAATGAGACATACGCTGACTTGGCCTCAGTATGCTGGAAATCCAAAATCCCATTTCCGAGGACCTCAATCTTAAAATTTTTCCGGGGGAGGATGCCCCCGGACTACCTTCCCTTCTAGAACCCTCTTTTCTAAAATCCTGTATCCGCCCCAGGGGTTATTGACCGAGCGTAAGGTCGTGACGGGGTGAATATTGGCCAATTTTTTTTTACGTCTTTATCGACCGAGAAAAATGTCAAGGTTCATCACCAGTCAAAAACAAAACCTTGGCCGACAAGCTTGAAGGATCTGTGATATGATAAACAACACTATGTTTCTGAGAGACACTTTGGCCAAGATGGGGCTATAACCAATTACATTGCAGGTTCATTGAACATGTGCTGATCGTTAATTAGACAAAACCGGCCCCTATACCTTGATTGAAACGCCACTTGACGTTGTAACTTTCGCTAATGTACTTAATGCTAGGCTTTCTATTCTCATTTGAATGTGTTCACATTTTAAATTAATTAGAGATGGATGCGGGCATTGTTGGACTTTGTTTGAGTTATGCTGTTCTGTTGACTGGTCAGTTTCAATGGTGTGTCAGGCAAAGCGCAGAGGTTGAAAATCAGGTTAGCTTATTTTCGTACTGGGAATAGACCTACAACTGCTGTCACAGCTAACGGCTACGTTGTACAAAATCCGCCATGTTGGAGAACAGGCTACAAAGAAATTAAGTGCACTAGATAAAGTTGCTTTGGTTTAACTGTTCAATGATCTAGTTTGCCTCCAGCGTGGTGGATTTTGTACCATGTAACAGCTAGCTACTTGCAAATGGCTCATTAATTGGAACAGATGCGTGCAGGTCAGAATACTCACTGGTTGAATAAAGAGATGTTCATATCAATATTAAAGTGCGAGTATCCCAACACCTGTCACACGTGTTTTGGTTTTTTCAGAAATGTATATTCTACGTCTGTCAGTCAGTAATGTTTTTGAAACACTAAGCGATTGGAAACCGATTCATATTTTGTTCATATTATATGACCGAGCCTGTGCGCGATACAAACTTTGGACGCTCATTTCTTTTGCTTATCAAGGCCAAGCACTTACCAACGCTTCGTTATTTTTTGTAACATTCAGATGACGTCTGTGGAGAGAATAGTGGCGTTGTGTCATCTGGAATCTGAAGGGGAGTGGCACGGGCATGTGTCTGTTCCTGCTTCTTGGCCTCAACTTGGTCTTATAACTGCTGAGGGAGTGTCATTCAAGTATCACGCTACCCTCCCACGGGTTCTCAAGAACATGAACTTTTGCATTAGAGCACAGGAAAAGGTATTTCTTGAAAGAATCAGGTCCATATGTATACGCGGTACAACTTTTCCTTTCCAAGAAATCTGATTGTTTAATTTCAGCCGTGACCATTTTTGGCACATCTGAATTGAAATCAAGTAAGAAAACGTTTGATTTCCGTTACGATTTTGAGAAAAACAGCGGAGAAAACACAGTAGATAAGTATATAGAAATGATCCCTGTAGTTGGTACGTCAGAGTGCGTGAGAATTGTCTTCAAATTGGTCTTTTGAATTAAAATACTTTCAGCTGAAAATGAATTTGTTGTTTCTCTTATTCTCTTATTGTTTGTCCTCTCTTGGTTTATTTCTGTATTGATATCTAATCTCCAAGATCTCTACTTTTCCTTCACGTCACTCCCGCCTTGATTAGTTGTAGCTATTTATGAGCTATGAGTATTTTTATATAAATGCATTAAAAACCCGCGTACTAGAACCTCGGTTTTAAGAACCTGTTAGGCTTAGGCTGTGTTCACACTTGGTGCCCGAGCACTAGTGCCTGGGCACCGGTACAAACTAGATAGTGTTGCATTCAGACACTTGGTACTTCAGGTACCAATTAGTGCCCGAGTAGGGCATGGGCACTGGGCCTGAATTTTGGGGTGAAAACTTGGTGAAAAGGTGTGTTCACATTGGTGCCCAGCGAGAGGCCTGTCCCTATTGTGCTCGGCAACTTTGGAGCAACGTTTGGCCTTTGGAGCAATTTTTTGCGGTTCCAGCAACCTCGAGCAAGTTTTGCCTTTCTGGGCAACTTTTGAGCAAAATATAGGTTTAGAGCACATACCAAGCACCGAAAAGTCAACGATTTCATAGAAAACGTCAATTTATGCGAATTTCTTCAATGTTTGTCAACTTTTTGAAGTTTGAGCACTTAACCTGTCACTTGACGTTCGGCAAGACGTCAAATAAACCATCTGTTTTGTTCCATCAATGTCCTTAAATTTCGCCCGTATTTGCCAGTAACTCTTTAAAGCCAGGTTTCAAGCTATTTTTTCTGACCGATGTTAGCAATTATTGTGAAGAACGAAAAATAAAGCGGAACAGGCCTAAGTGTGAACATAACATTAGATTCTCCATTTAGACCCCCTTTACATTCGAACCTGTCATACATTTATATAAGAACCTGTTTAGGCTAACTTGGAAAAATCTAGGTTGTTATACGCGGGTTTAACTGTATTTGATTAACCATTTTAATCTAGAGATTGTTGTTGTAATTGTAGGTTGGCATCGTTGGCCGTACTGGTGCTGGAAAGTCGTCTTTATTATCAGCTCTTCTGAGGCTTGCTGAATCAAATGGTACTATAAGAATTGATGGCATTGATATTGCAGAGCTTGGCCTGCATGACTTGAGGTCTAAATTGTCAGTTATTCCACAGGTATGTTTGTTAACCCTTGCCCAGCTTTCTGGCTGGTTTTGTACCAGGTACGTTTCTCATGCTTGAAGTGCAAACTCACCATAGCTTGAAGCATGGACTTGAATTTATGTTAAGTAGTCTCTTAAAAATTTTAAGTTAAAGAGTTGGGGATATGTCAAATTCTTGATTTTAGAATTGGCGACGAACGTGACTTCCGACGCCTGCCCAGGAATCACCCAATCTCTCCATGTACTTGGTTTACAGATAAAAATGATCTTGAAGTAATTTTTTTCTCTTAA